CCCCTGCTCTCTCCGCAGTACGAGCGGGGATCCGCCACCAACTACATCACCCGCAACCGGGCACGGAAAAAGCTGCAGCTGAGCCTGCCCGACTTCAGGTGCGCCGGGGACCCCCCCGAGACCCCCTTGGGACCCACCGGGACCACACGAATCTCCCCTGAAGCCCTCAGGGACTCCCCCAGACCCCCTTAATTGCCCCCCGGGGCCCCCGGAACACTCTACGGGACTCTCCTGCACCTTCTGACATTCCCCTGGGGACCCTGACCCACCCCCAGATGCCCCTGGACCCTCAAAAATCCACCCTGGGACCCCCCTGGATTCCTTGAGCCTCCTCCGGGGACCCTGATTCCACCCCCCGGCTGCCCCTGGACCCCCTAAAATCCCTTCCAGGACCCCCCTGATCCCTCTACAGACCCCACCTCAAGACACACACCCCCTCCCCCTGAATTCCTGAACCCCCTCCTGCAGAAGCAGCAATGGATCACACCCAGGGTGGGCTTGGGGGGTGTCCCTTTCCCTGGGGACCATGGCGGTGTGTCCTGCCCATCCCAGGGCTTCAGGCTGCCGAGTTTTGGGGGTTCCCTTCCCCCGAGGGGTGGCAGCACTGGAGGGAATGGGGGCCTGGAATGTCCCGCTTTGGGGTACAAGGGTGCTGTGCCCCCCTCGTCTCATGCTCCTCGCTGTTACCAGACGCCTCTGCATCCTGAAGGGGATTTACCCCCACGAGCCCAAGCACAAGAAGAAGGTGAACAAAGGCTCCACCGCACCCAGGACCTTCTACCTCCTCAAGGATATCAAATTCCTCCTTCACGAGCCCATTGTCAACAAGTTCCGGGAGTATAAAGTAATTATCCTGCAGGATACCCCCGGGTTGGGTGCCCGAGGGGCCGCTCAGGGCTCGTCCTCCCCTGCAGAGCCCCCGGCCTCCCCCTCTCCCCACAGGTGTTTGTACGGAAGCTCCGGAAGGCGTACGGGAAGAGCGAGTGGAGCACCGTAGACCGGCTGAAGGACAACAAGCCCACCTACAAGCTCGACCACATCGTGAAGGAGAGGTGAGCCACCGGCCAGATCCCCGCTTCTTCTGAGAGGAGCTTTCCCTGCAGCCACTTGGACCTGTGCAGCCTTCACCGTGTCAATATATGAATCCATATATATATTCTGGGGGGGTTTGATGGAAATCAGTGTTTCTGGGCAGGAGGAGAAGGCCATAGTGTGCTGGCTGGAGCAGAGCAGGGAGTGCATGACCATCCTAGATGGCTCCAGGATCTCCAGGAAGATGCTGAGAGCTCTCCTCCTTTCCCTGAGTGGTGTTTTCCTTGAAGGGAGGGCTGACGGAGGATGAAGGGTGCCAAGAGAGTTGGTGAATTTGATGGCAATGGCAGAGAAGAAGATGCAGGAGGGAGAGAACCTGCTCTGGGAGGTCTCTCCATTGTCTTGGCGGTGTCTGGGACCTGGCTGTGCTGGTACAGGGAGAGGAGAGAGAAACGCTGCCCCGACAAGCGCTGTGCTCAGGAGGGGAGATGGCGGCTGCACCGCTGCTCGAGCTGTGGGGCCGTATGGTCTCCCTCCGACCACAGCGTTTGAGTCCTCCAGCTTTTGCCTGAGCCTCATCCATCTGGCCAAGGAGTGCCGTGTGACACAGCACAGGCCACAGCCATGCTTGTCTCGATGGCTCCAGGCAGGGATTCCCCAGCACTTGGTTCTTGCGGGTGCCCTAAAACCTGTTTACACGCGGCCTGCCGTCAGGGGTGCTGCCATCCCCTCACCCAGGGACCTTCGTAGACTCATAGAGTGGTTTGGGTCCAGCATGATCACAAGATCCCATCTGCCAACTCAGAGCATGAGGTGGTGTTTCTGGACAGCTCTGTGGTTTCTCCAGAGGCTGAGGGACAGCCTGTCCCAGCCCTGCAGACACAGCAAGCAGGCTGCATCCCACAGCAGGCTGGGGATCTGCCAGCTTCGCATTTGTGTTGGTGGCTGCAGCGATTTTGACCCAAACCCAGACTTATCCTGACACCAGATCCTGGTGTTACCTTTGAACTGGTCCTTTGGATGGGTCACTGTAGGGTGGGAGGTGGCCTGTGTGTAAGGTACTGCTTCCTCAGCCAGGTAACCATAGAGTCACAGACTGGTTTGGGTTGGAAGGGGCCTTAAAGCCCCCCCAGTGCCACCCCCTGCCCTGGGCAGGGACACCTCCCACCCCACCAGGTTGCTTCAAGCCCCCTCCAACCTGCCCTTGAACCCCTCCAGGGATGGGGCAGCCACAGCTTCTCGGGGCAACCTGGGCCAGGCTCTCACCACCCTCACAGCAAAGAAGTTCTTGCTAGTATCTAATCTAAATCCCTCCTCTTTCAATTTAAAACCTTTCCCCCTCGTCCTTTGTCTCCCCTCCTTGATCACGAGTTCCTCCCAGCTTTCCTGGAGCCCCTTTAGGGACTGGAAGAAGGTCTCCC